ATACTAGAATAGTATGATCCGAATTGGAAATACAGTGGTGGTCACGTAATTGAAACGTCTACAGTGGTAAAAATGTTTTGATCAGCCCTCGATTTGTTTAAAGTATTTTGGAATTTTTTTTTTTAATTCAGAATACTTTGATATACTGCACTTAAGATATTTAGTGTGAAAATAGAAAATTATTGCATGCAATTTTTCCATAAATTACGTTTTTTATGAAAATACATCGACTTTTAAGTGGCCACATAATTAAAACATTGTGCGATTTTTTACTTTACTGCATTTTTTTGAAAATATTTTTAAAAAAGCTTTTTATTTTAGTTAATTTATGTATACTAAGCACCGATATAATCATTTACAGATAAAATTTTTTGAAAAAAATCTGTCAAAATTTCCAAAAAAATTGTATAGTACACCTAACATTCATAAAATCACCTTTATTATAGAAAAGAAAGGTCCAAATGCACCAGAAATTGCTAGAATTAGTAGAACACAATAATCTTTCCTTTAGGTTAATTCCCATTTTTTGAGTTTTTATTTCAAATATTTATTTATTTTAAGAATTATTTATTATGTTCTACTAATTCTAGCAATTTCTGGTGCATTTGGACCTTTCTGTTCTATAATAAAGGTGATTTTCTGAATGTTAGGTGTACTGTACAAATTGTTGGAAATTTCGACAGATTTTACAGATTTTTTCAAAAAATGTTATCTGTAAATGATTATATCGGTGCTTAGTATACATAAATTAACTAAAATAAAAAGATTTTTTAAAAATATTTTCAAAAAAATACAGTAAAGCAAAAAATTACACAATATTTTAATTATGTGGCCACTTTAAAGCCGATGTATTTCATAAAAACCGTTATTTATGGAAAAATTGCTTGCAATAATTTTCTATTTTCACACTAAATCTCTAAAGAGCAGAATATAGAAGTGTTCTAAAAATTTTTCAAAAATTCTTTAAACGAATCGAGGGCTGATCAAAAAATGTTTACCACTATAAATGTTTTAATTACGTGACCACCACTGTATATAGAAATTTCTAACCTTATTTATTACTTACAGGACTTATTGACCACAAGTCCCGATTAAAAAATAAGTGTGCCTATATAGCATGTACAATTATATTAAATTATTAAAAGAATTGTCCATCTTAAACTACTTAAAAACTTTACAAAGTATACATCGTTATTTTGTTGAAAATATGCCAATTGGCATGCATAACATTTTATTAAATTTAGTTTTCATTGATAGATGAGTTCCAAATTAAAAAGGGTTGCTATAGAACCCTTCCTTAATCTTGTTGTAGAATTCTTTTTGTGCCCGTAAAGCTACATTAAATACTAAGATGGGGTCTATAGGGGAACCTCATCTGGACACTCTCCACAGATAGTCAACTCGTCGATGAAAGAATATACCTTAAATAAAGCGAATAATAAATCTTATTATTCCCTAGAACTCTCCAAACCATATGCTGAGGGAATATATCTGTCGGCAACACCGACTGACACTTTTTAACTTGTCTCTTTAGAACTGTCTTATACTGTCTGTACCTTTTAAATAAATTGATCTATCAACACAAATAAGTTGTCATATTTACGGGGAAACTTTTGTCTTTATTCCCATTACTAATTGGTACTAAATTTGGTGCAAGTTGGATTTAGGTGAACAGATAGATTGGGAATTAAAAGTAAAGAAAGTAGTAAAGTCGGACGGAGCCGACTATATGATACCCTTCACCACTATGGGTATGTTAAACGAATGCATCCTAACAGAAGGGTCATTAACATGAAATTGGATGAAATAAAATATGTGACCTTTATTTAAATGTGAATCGACTTAGATCCATAAACATGTCATTCGTTTGTTACAATGGGTCAAAATTATGTAAATCGATTTAAAGCAAATATCAAAATGCTCAATTTTGTACGTTGTGCAAAATTTCATGTCAATATTGCAAACATGAGTAATTTGGTGCACCATTTATTTAAATTGGATAAAAAAATCTATATCCAAAAATGAATTGATTTCAACGAAACTTGTCACAGGTTAGAATATCCTAATTTCAGCAGCTTTTGTTCCTAATGGTCATATTTTGGGCCCTACTTAATATCGGGCGAACATATATGAGAGCTATATCTAAATATGAACCGAATTTAGTACTCTGTGCAAAACTTTGTTTCAAATATTGGGAGTTTGGTGCACTATTTACATTAAATCGGACGAAACTATTTTCTCCAATTTCAATAGGGTTCTTTATTGGGCCAAATAAGTGACATGTGCCAAATTTCATGCAAATCGGATCATAAATGCGACCTGTACTTTGTTCACAAAAATACATGGACGGACAGTCGAACGGACATGCATAAATCGACTCAGAAAGTGATTCTATGTATATTCTCAAAAGGAACCATGTGTCTATCTCGTTTCCTTCTGCCTGTTACAAACATATGCACAAAGACATAATACCCTGTACCACAGTGTGGTGTAGGGTATAATGACTGTCGGAGTGTAATATTGGGGTAGTTTAAGAAATTCGTAGTTATTGGTACGAAAAGTATTATATGGTACTATTTTTTTTTTGTTTGAAAGGATAGAGCTTTTAACCTGAAATTTGGGATTAAGATTACTGTTGAAGATTGAGCTATAGAGACATTTTGGAAATTCATATTTATGTGCACGAAAAGTCATTTGATTTGGGTGAACGGAGACAGCTGGAAACCTAAAATTTGGAATAATGGTTGCTCTTGTAATGTAGAATTGAGATATGGACGCATAGTACTTATGTGTACTAAATGTTACTATATTTGGTACAATTTTATGTGTGAACGGATAGTGCTGGACTCCAGAATTTTGGAATTAAAATTACTTTTAGAGAGTACGATTAAGGTAGTTTAGAAAATTTTTAGTTATAAAAACAAAAAGTTCTGAATGTTATTAAATAGTTTACAAAATGTTTTTGAGTGAACGAGCTGAGATCCTGAAATTTTGAATTAATATTACAGTGAGTGAAGAATTGAGATATGTCTGTAAATTTGAATATTCGTCATTATGTGTACTAAATGGTACTAAATTTGATACAATTTAGATTTGAGTGAACGGATAGATATAGAAAACTTAAATTTGGAATGGAAATTACAGAATTATGGTAGTATTGGAATTTCGGATATGGTAGTATTGGACGTAAGAATTTCTACTTATGAGTATGAAAAGTACTAAATGGTACTAAATATTGCACAATTTTGATTTGGTGGAATCCAATTGAAAAGTAATAAATGGTACTATATATTGCATAATTTCGATTTGGTTGAATCCTGAGATTTTGAATTTAGATTACTGATAAAGTGTTGTATTGAATGTATTGTATTGTAAGAATAGTAAATAGAATAAAACATGCACTAAATTTGAAATTTACAATGTGGGTCAAACGGATTGATAGCTGGAAACCTAAAATTTGGCACTAAATTTAATGGTGGTGGTATGGAGGTAGGCTTGGAAATGTGTACTGTGTAATTTGTGTAATGGAAATAAGAAAGAGATTTCGCAAAATAGTGCTCATGTGTATGAAGAGTACTAAATGGTTATAAACTTGATTTAAGATGTAGAAATAGAGGTGGAGTACAGAACTATAGTACAGTAGTATTCACGATTTCCATATAAGATATTTTTTTTGTTTTCCCTTTCCTCATGCAAAGTAGCGGGCACTTTCCTAGTTTTCTGTATTTTGTATGTTAAAGCCGCATTTTCCTAAAAGGGCTGTAATTTGGTTATAAGTTACTGACTCGACCTGCAGGTTATTGGAGGATGAGCAATAGTTTTTCAGATAATTTTTGATAACCCTCAATTTTTTTTTCAGAAAATGTTGATTAATTTGTTCTTATGAAATCCTGGTTAGAAAAATCTGCTTTGCGGAATAGGTTCAGAGTAGGTCAAAGTTTATACCCTCTGCCTTATGGTTGAATGAGGGTATATACATTTTGCTGCGGTAAAAATGTGACTCATTGCTTGTAGACCCTATGTTTCTTTGACCCAAATTTGTTGCAGGCAATTTTGGGGTCAATTTAAAAATCCATTGTCCCCATCCATTGTGGTCCTTCATTTTCAAATAAATTTTAATAAATGTTTCATCAATGGATCGAGGGATTTCTAAGGTTTTATTACATTTTGATATTACATACATATGTTATGTAAGACAATATATGTATTATTTGGCTAAATAAAACAGATTTATTTCCCTAATCATATTTTGAGGTCAACTAAACCAAATAACAAAATTAAAACACAAATTTTTTTTGTTTTTTATTGTTATTTTATAAACATAAATTATATTTTTGAAATTGAACTTAAATATAAGACATATATAGATAGACAGTACGATAGTACAATAATTCTAAAGTGGAATATGAGGAGAGGAGGCAAGAGGAGAGATGAAGAGATGGGATGATTGAAATCAATATAGTATAGATTTAACTAAATGCACCATGGGAAAGCACCAAAAAATAAAGTTATGCCGCATAAATATTCAAACAAATTTTTCAATATCGGCATGATTACGTTGATGATGTTTATAATGTTCGAGATGATGTGAATGATCGATCGTTGGCTTATAAACTATAAACAAAAAATAAAATAAATAAATATAAATAGTACTTTTTTTTTCTTTTATAAAAAATGTGTATATGCAATTTGGACAAATTTACGTAAAGTTACTTTGTGGTAGTTGTTGTAAAATTAAAACGAAAAACATACATAAATTAAATTAATTAACTATTGCAATTATGCCCGAAATATTTATGATACGATTTTTTTAATTTCATTAAAAAATATATAAAATTTTTGTTGGCTGTATAAATAAGTGATTTTTTTAATAAATAAGATTTTTCAATTTTCTTCTTCTTGTTCTTCTACTTAATATTCAGTCAATGTTTTTGTCGTTGTTGTTGGTTTTTGATTTTTTTATATATTTTATTTCATTCGTATAGAATTGTTTTCTTAAATTATTGTAGGGTTTCATGTGTGAGGGTGGCAGCAGCAGCTGCTGCCGCCGACAAAGAATTGTGCACCGCAGCAACGGCGGCTGCATTTTGTGCCGCATTCTGTTCATGTTGCTGCTGGGCCTGTTGCCGCATACGGAACATGCGCAAAGTCATCCAAGATGCCAGGGTACCATACACGGGCATGGGATTTTCCTTTTCCATGGCCTCCTTCTGTAACTGATACCGATAGAGCAGGGAACCGGCAATCAGGGCCGATACAATTGTCGCCGATATGACAACAATAAAGAGAATGCTGAAGCCCGGCACAGGCATGCAAATACCATAGACCACTTCTTCGGTTATTTTTCCTTGGAACACCGTTACCGCTTCCTGTTTGGTATCGGGTGAGAAAGCTAAGTCGGCCTCCGAGATGACATCGTATAGGCCACTGACGCCCACATCAGCACTGCGCACCTTACGATCGGAAATTACAATAGAACGACGACGACGCCTGGGAGTACCTTCGGTCGTGGTGGTCTTATTATTTTTATCATTTCCTTCCTTTGATGCATCCTTCTCCTCCTCTTTGTTCAATTTATCCAAATCGATGTGATCTTCACGTGGTTGGGTTAAAGCTTCCGCCTGAGGACGATACACAGGATGTGGCACATCATCTTTAGGTTCGAGAGAACGTGGCCCTGCCATCGGGACGCCCATACGTTTTTGAGCCAACTGTCTGGGACCATGCGGGAATTTACCACTATTCCTTAATTCCATATATTGGGCTTCATCCAAATTGGCCAATTCCTCTTCACCAAAGATGTCATCCAACTCCTGTTCCTCGGGATCTTCATGTACGGGTCGTGGTGGCAAATTGGCATTCTTTTCGTGGACATTATTGAAATGATCCAAAATATTGGCAATGCCGCTATTGATTTGGGACAGCTGTTTACGATTGTGGATAATATCATCATAGAAGACATCATGGTCACTGCCATCACCATGGCCAGGATGGGGAGGAGGTATATTTCCACCACCACCACCCACAGAACCCATGCCCATTTCATTTGTATGACCACCAACACCACCGCCAGGACCCATTCCACCACCTCCTCCTCCTATATTGTGATGACTATTCGGACCCATCATACCACCTCCACCACCTCCATGATGCGAAGCTGTCATTTCATGTAGCAGATCATTTTTATTATTCATCATATTCTCATCGCGTATGATGTCTTTGCGTTCATTGGAATTGTCCGCCAACTGGCAATGATCCAAACAGCCATGACGACATATTTCCACTTTGCATTTAATGTGAACACTCAAGGCATCGGGGAATTTGAAAGCATGGAAGAAGGCATATGTTATAACGGTGGCACGCTCATCCGGTGCCCGAGACTTCAAAAAGCGGGATATCATTTTGGGTCGCAGTACACAACCGAATTCATCGGACAGATTGATGACATGTCCGGAACCATCTGAAGCAACACAAGATTTCACACGCATATCGAATTCACCTGAAATACAAGAAATGCGGAAAATTATTAGGAATTATTCGGAAGAAATAAATGTACATGTCATGAGTCTGAGACCAAACATCTTAAATATATATAAGGAACCATAAGAAAATAGGCCTGTAAATTAGTCTCTAAAAGCGAAAGAGAATTTTTTTAGAAAGGAGACGGGCGATAAATATATGATTTAAATCGGGCGATAAATATATGATTTGCCTCCTACAATTCCTACAAATGTGGGTGGTTAGGCTTATGTAGTCGATGATATCGCTACAAGCACCCAGTCTACGAGCAACAATGGATATCAGATTTGAGGTTCAGGGAACTCTGAACATGGGAGTAAGACTAACATAACCACGTTAAAATGACGGAGTAACGAAGAGACTGATAAGATGGTGGAGGCAGAAAGCGAGGATATTGCTAAGCTCATAAGAAAAAAAGGTGCACAAACGTGGGATCTGGGCAGAATTAACCAGTGAAACAAAGGTGAACACACCGTCTCGGAAGCGTCGAAGAGGATTAGGTATCCCAAAGATCAGACGATTGTCAAATTTGCAACTAAGAAAGAGAGCACCACGTCTGCTGATATAAGGAGAAAGCTGAGCCAATCCAAAGTCAAGGAAAACTGACTGAAGGCGGGTATGCTGCCTCTAATATCAATAAGATGGGTGATGTTTCAGAATCTTCCGTAAATAACGGGTATCCCAAATGGGCTGTTGATGCCCAGAATGAAAAGTAGACCTTGCCTCCACTTACTCGGAAGCTGTGAAAATAATCCGGAAGGGCAGACGCATGCAAAACCCGCAAACTAACAGAAAGTTGTCCCGTCGGCGGATATAAAGAGATGAGCCAAAAGAGACAGCTACGAAAATCTACGGACTTAGGACTGCTCCGTCTAGCATTGCTAAGCTCACGACAAGGACAAATACGCTATTTGAGGCACAAACCGGACGAACATATGTGAACAGCAAACTGATGGCCAGAAGGATAAGCCAGATCTTCCCTACCTGCGTCTGGTATTAGGGCGCTGCTTTTAAATCTCCCTTAAAGACCAGGAACCCCAAAGAGCTAAACACAATTTCCTAAAGAAACAGGGGGTAGCCACAAATGATTGGGAGATAAGAGATCTGCTATGCAGTGATCGACGAAATCACTAAACTAAAAACAGGTGATCTATGAGGGGGTGATGGATACGATGAATAATAAGCTCATGGAACACCTGCTGCGCGACATCGATCTGGACAATTGGAATTCTAATGCCAGAATTTGGGTCGTCAATGATCATAGACGCCTGGAGAAAACTAGAAAGAAGCCTTGCCTCCATAAACGCAGAATCAAGCCCATGTCGGACATTCACGGAAAGATACATTCCTCGACTACAAAAGGCAACGATCTTCGTCAAAGGTTGGGACAGCGAGTTCCTGACAGAACACTTGCTCGAGGTATTTGGACTGAGTTTTCCAAAAAAAATATTTGCCTTCAAATATTTCATTCGGATATATCCTCGATACGCCACCTGTGACGATTTTAGAAAACATTTCTTTAAGACTATTTTGACAGCTCATATATGAAGAACCCTTCCACATTTTAGGTATTTTGAATTTTCCAACCAAAGTGACTGTAATTTGGAATTCCGGGGTAGAGTAAAAACATATGCCATAGCCTCTATATTAGAAAGTACCCTATACATTCTCCGCACGGTCGCACCGAATTGGCTGTAATTAAAAATTGGAGGATTAAAAAAATTCTTCCCACGAATATTGTCCATGTTCTAATAATTTCCATATCAGGGTCTTAATTTTCGGTACCTTAACATTCCTAGACAAGTTTTCCATTCTGAGTGTATGTAAGATGGTATATAATTTTTTAGAATATAAACATCCTCCTAGAAGAACATTTGTAATTACATAGTCTCCATATAAAGGCCACGACTTTTTATTTATTTATATTTTTTTTTTTCAAAAAATTGCTGATCCGATTAACACGAGCATTATTTTGAGCTATTGCCAAATTGTGAGAAAAAGTTTAATTCCGGAAAAGGAGCTGGTGACTATTTTGAAGTATTATAATCGGATTTTTTTTTTAATTTAAGAATAGTTCCGTTCAGTGAAACTTGAATAATGCAACCGATTTATTTGGTGGGAACTAGGAACCATGTCAAAATTGTACTTTTTCCAATCCTGTTGTAATTCTTGTTTTAGGTCCTTTTTAAAGATGTTCCAAAATATTTTTTCTACGAAGGTCTTTTTAGGAGTAGACCAAAAATCCAGCTCACAAAATACTAGTAATTCTGATTTCTGGTTTTAGGACATAAGCTAAATCTCATATACGTATTATATCGAATGCTTATTTTCCTCCTTTTCCTCTCCTCCGTTTGCTACCAAATCCCCGCAAACGATCACAACCGCATTTCTGACGCACGTTTTTCAACTGACCGTTTAATGGCAATAATTTTATTACCATTTAAACACAATTTCCTTGTTAGACAGGCTGTCTATAGGCCTGTTTACCTCCAATTCCGACAAGAATAAAATCTCTAAACGATCGATAGCCTAAGGTGTGATACAACATGGCCTGAAGTGTTGGAATTGTTTTGTCTTTGGCGGCGATGGTGGTTCTATTAACGATGCATAATAATTCTGATGCTTCAAAGGCAGAGCATAATAAAAAGCAATAATGTACATTTAATAACAACAACGAGGGCAATTAACGTAACAACAAATTCAATTAAGAACGGCAACAAGTGCCGCGGACAGCTGTTAGATCCATAGAACGGGGCAACAATGTAAACCGATTTTTAATAGCCAAACAAAAGTGCGTAAATGATTTGAGAATAAAACGGGCAGCTATTAAATTTAAATCTATCTGGTCTTAAAAGCTGCCGAACGTGATATACAAAATGGGTAGTAATAAAAATCGTACATTTTAGATTTGATTGAAGAATAATTATTCATAAATCGGGTTCTTTTTATTTTCTAAATATCGAATTTCTAATCATAAATCGAATTGCTGATCATACGCTGGGGTCAAATGGAGGTATTAAATTATTTTTATCCTCCAATATAAAATTGGAGGTTGTATTAATTTTGTTTTTCTATTTGTAGACATTCAGGATCGGTCAGATTAAGCTCTATTTTTGAAAATGTGGTTACGTATTTCAAATACTCTTAGAATATGGAAACGATATAGACACATGGATTTACGCATGTCCGTCTGTCCGTACGTCCGTCTGTCCGTACGTCCGTCTGTCCGTCCATGTATTTTTGTGAACAAAGTACAGGTCGCATTTATGATCCGATTTGGATGAAATTTGGCATAGGTCACTTATTTGGCCCAAGGACGAACCCTATTGAAATTGGGAAATATCGGTTCAGATTTAGCTCCCATATATATTTTCGTCCGATTTAAGGTAAATGGTGCACCGAAGTCCCTATATATCTTTCGATTTGCACGAAATTTGGCAGAGCGTTCTGTATAAAGTGCAGAATGATTTGTGCTGAGTTTGGTGAGAATCGGTTCAGATTTAGATATAGCTCCCATATATAGTTTCGTCCGATTTTATGTAAATGGTACACCAAAGTCCCTATATATCTTTCGATTTGCACGAAATTTGGCACAGCGTAATGAATGAAGTATAGAATGATGTGTGCTAAGTTTCATAAAAATCGGTTCAGATTTAGATATAGCTCCCATATATAGTTTCGTCCGATTTTATGTAAATGGTACACCAAAGTCCCTATATATCTTTCGATTTGCATGAAATTTGGCAGAGCGTTCTGTATAAAGTGCAGAATGATTTGTGCTGAGTTTGGTGAGAATCGGTTCAGATTTAGATATAGCTCCCATATATATTTTCGTCCGGTTTGCACGAAATATGGCACAGCGTAATGAATTAGGCCTAGAATGGTGTGTGTTTAATTTCCTGAAATCGTTGAAATCGGTTCAGGTTTAGATATAGCTTCTTTATCTGACCAAATGAAAGAAATTAGTATAGGTTGCAGAATGACATGTTTATGGATTCAATTTCATTTTGCTGGTCCTATAAAAATGCGACGTCTGTTAGGATTCATCTGTTGAATATACCCAAAGTGGTGAAGGGTATCATATAGTCGGCTCCGTTCGACTTTACTACTTTCCTTACTGGTTTTCCATGTTTTTATTTATCACCTTTGAATCCCCCACCTAATTTTGGCATATTGTTGATCAGGCCGCAGTTCCCAACGGATGTGAATTGACAAGTAAAGTCTTCAGGGGAAATGTATTTTGCAGGAAGTACTCTCATTTTCGAATAGCATTTCGGCTTTTATTTTCCGTTTTCATAAGAAATTTTATCGAAAGACGTCTATTTTATAGGATTGGTCCTATTAAAAGCTTCCGCTTCATTTTAAATATTTTTAGATACATTTTCCAAACAATATTGTTGTCCTATGGGATTTCGGGTTTTCAGACGATAGAATACCTCTGGTCCATGTTTTCATATCATGATATTTTGAAGGTTTTAACAGCATTTTCCCACTGAAAGTGCCATAATTTTGTATTTCGGATTCTCCGAGTGTAAACGTCCTTCGGGAACATTTTAGATATTGTCTATATAGGTCCACTTTTCGATAAAGAGATAGAGCTTTAAAATTTTGCTTCTACTATGATGTTTTGCATTGGGATATATCGACACGCTTTGTTGTAGCTCCCATATAAATGTTCCACCCCGATTTCGATATTTTGAAGGTTTTAGCTACCCTTTTCCATGCAGCAGTTTCTGCCTGAGTCAAGAGAGCATTCCAGCCGACATATGGCATGACACAATGTCGAGGAGGAGAATGCTGATGTAGTCAACAGAGGGCCGAATGTCCAAGCCTGAAAGTGTTAGCTGACAATCCTGTGCTTCTAAATCAGACTATCACTGAAAATAAATTAGTGAACAGTGGGTGATCTAAAGATAATTTTAATCGTTGCAGTCTACTCTGGCACTGCACATGATATGTAGACATGGCGCCCAACGTAATTAGCGAAAAGGAATTCACCTTGATCAGGAAACACATAAGGTCGTGAAGAAATGCGACGGAGATTATCCTCAAAAGGCCTCTGGGGAACTTTAGATGATAGTGTTCCTACATCGTATGCTGTGGCTGCATCCGTCAGGACCTCTTCCACGGTGACGGCAAAGGAAACCCAAGCCTATCAAAGCATGGGGCAAACACGAGATAATGTACCGACTAAATCCTGCTCAACGCCTGTGTCAATGAAGAGGATTAGATCGACGGTGAAACATCAACCAGCTTCGAGGAAACCTCTGGCGCATGATGCAGTAGTATCCATGAAGGATAATAGGAAGGTTGTCATTGGGAAGACAAAAGTCGGACCTATTGGAAAACCTTCACAGGAAACTTCAGGATCTGTCCAAAGGCTTCTTCCGTAGTTACCAAAAAATACAGTGGGAGAGACCGAAACCAAAATTTGACGGATGGTACCATATGACGAGAGAGTAGCCTTTATGGACAAGGCTGACCCTTTGGTCGCTACTCGACCTAATATCATGATCATGAACGCCTGTAATTTAATGGGATTTTTCTGTATAAAGGGTCAGGGAAATTGGCAGTACAAATAAGAATTTCGCAATTATTAAGGGAATAAATGAGATTCCTCGACACGGTTCCCCTTGTACCAAATTCAGAAGGTTGTCTAGAAGCAGAACGCCGGTCTTTATATTGGTAATTGATGCAATCTGAATACATTTACGAAGAACGGTGAACTGGTTGTCAAATATGCCACGGATAAAGTGGGAGAGAAATTCCTTAAGATGAAGAGAGACTGATTCAATTCCGCCTCCTTTTATTGCAAATGCAACAGAGTTTGAAGGTCATCATACTAGGGCTAAGGAGCTACTCCCCAAAATCTCAACCACCAACACGAGCATCGCCATGGTCCAGGAGCAATATCTTGTTAAGAATATGGTAACTGGGCTTAAGGGTAATACAGGTCATAATAGATCCCATACAATGGCTTCTAGTCAAATTATCCATCTTGAGAATCTGTAACTAAGCATTTGACAATTTACAATCGCATTGTCTCCATATAAAGGACAGACCTTCTTAAGAAATTTTGAATGCACACGACATGGTGAAGGTTATAACAAGTTCGGCACGGCCGAACATAACGTCGTTTCAACATCATTATTTTTTTTTAATATCAGTCTTCGAAACTTAACGACACTTTTACTGGCTCTACTCTAAATTTACTTACCACGATAATCATTGATGGCCACCACCAAGGTGAGAGTAGAACCCAATGGTACAATGCCACTAACAGGTGGTGCCCAGGGGCCACGACCATGCTGTATTTCCATCCAACAATCGACATTGTCACCTGCAAAGAATATCAAACCATTAATAAATACGGAAAAATACAAATAGCCCAGCCACAAGAGATTGAAAAATATGCCATAAACAATTTTCCAATTTTATGTTTTGCTTTCAATTAAATTTTTAATCTGTTTTTTTAAGGCACAACAAAAAAACATTTTAATTATTTTACAATGCGACATTAACATTTCCTTCCACTTTTTCTTCATCTCGACCAGAAATGTGATAGGTGGTCATGTTTATGGCACAAGCGCCACACGTCACATTTCGCAATCGCAGAAAGGAGCCATAGCCAGCCATCCATGACCATGAAGTGCAAATACGAAATTTGTTTCGTTGCCGTTGTTATATCCTACCTCTGAAATCCAATTGTATTACATCCAGATCAGCAATTACCATTGGTGGTTTCGATGCTGTTTTCTCATAGTCATTAAACCATTCACAACGTAAACGTTTCGCTTCATCCCAAACTTCCAACAGATCTTTGTCATATTGCACGACCACCTGCAAGAGAGAATGAATGGTTGGACCACAAAAGATGAAAAAAAGTAAGAAAAAATGAAAAGTAAACAAAAATGATGATTATAAACAGAAATTCACATGTAAACAATAAAATGAACACAGTTGTGGAACAATATACACAGAACATCAGCAGCAGCAACAACAACAACATTAAAAAATTGTATCAGCAACATGACCAGAAACAGAACACACGGACAGACAGACAGCAGTAGTAGCTGTGGAACTCTCAACTAACCACTGTCAGTTGTAACCGTAGATACTACTGCAGTAACCTCATCATGATTTTGCTCTGTTTGAATAGTGTTTAATGTATTGTTTTTTTCGGAATTAGTGATGGAATAGAGGGAATTTACGACGTTTTTGACATTTGTCGTGAATGATGAATTATGACAGAAATTTTGAAATTTCGCATAAACATTGTCATAAATTCTTTAATGTTGATATTGAAAATGGTAGATATCGATACATATTTTGAAGTAAACTCCAATTTTGGTATTCTGAAAAGTTTGGGCTCACAGACCTTAAATTCTGCACGATGGATATATACCGAATGACATGATGTCGTTTTTTAAGCACTGCCAAACGGCTCAGTAGCAAGATTTCCGAACTCTAGAAGTCTAGATTAGTCCCCTTCCCATCGCATATAAAGTGCCATCCAACGTACTGTGTGAACGAATGAAGCCAATGTTCAATGACATTTTTGGACCATACCAATGCGGCTTCAGGCGTGGAAAATCCACATAGACCAGATTTTCACTCTGCGTCAAATCATGGAAAAGACACACAAAAAACACATTGAGACATTCCACCTATTCGTCGACTACAAAGCCGCATTCGACAGCCCAATCCGTTCAGAGGTGTTTACAGCCATGTCTGCGTTCAGCATTCCTGCAAAAAAACGTCCTCGGTGCGGCCATAAACAAAACTAATAACATCAGCTTTGAAATCCGGAGAAGAATAGTGTTGTCAACAGTTGATCCTATGGTCTGAGTAAGCAATACAAAACCCTGTGAGCGGAGCAGTATAGTCGGACGGGCCGACCATATGATACCCTAACTTTTTGTAGATCTATGTTCTGAGATTGGGTAATATTTCACGATATTTGCACCCTTTTGACCTACAAGAGGTAAAAGAATATTACTAATATTCAGTACAGCCCTTCTAATTAATTGTCCAGATTGCGTTGTGATGTTCGGCTTTCAATTGTGGCCTATAGATCGACTCGAAAAAATGTTTTTGGTCCACATCTCTTTACGAAAGCACCTGTAAATATTTAAGTGGAACTCCCACATTTTTGTACATACGACAATATAATTGGTATCAATTTAAAGGTCAATCACTCCTCTGGATATTCCATCAACTTCTCGGATCTATGTCCTTCAGAGGTAAATATATACGCTATAGAAAATAACCTTATCAAAATATGCTTGTTTTGATAAGGCCCATAATTGGAGCGATCAGGAAAACCGACACACAATAGGGGTCTCCATTGGCCAGAACCCATCTTACATGCAAAATTTCCATAACTGTGTTTACAAATTATAATGGACAGACGGACGGCCACACATGTCTTGATCGACTTAGCTAATCGAGACATGACGATCGTTATACTTATAAACTATAAACTATAGTACCCTGACAACATAGTTGTGTAGGGTATAACAAGGCTTCCTCTCGCCAAACCAAATTCACACTCTACAAGACGCTGATACTATGCGTGCTGTTGTATGGATCTGTGGCAGATCTTGGTGTTTTTGTGAGAAAAATTCTCCGAAAGATGTATGGGCCGATCTGTTTCTTCGGTGAATTTCGCTGTCGAATGAATCATGAGTTATATCATCTATTCTCGGACATGGCTTAAAAGGCGAGCTAACTGATGGTTCTCGCAGAAGGGGAAGGCCACAAATTCGATGGAAAGATCCAACGGAAGACAACATTTCGGAACATTGTCTTTCAAATTGGAAATCTTTTTTAAGCTCGGCTTATGAAACAAATGTCCTATAATAAGCCAGCTAAGTAAGTAAGTGCGGCGGATGACCTCTCAATTACAAGTTGGAATCGATCGAAAAGGCCCAAATCTGAGTCGGTGTGTAGAACCGTCGTTAAATGCCAAACGTCGCCAGACTTCACTTATTATTGACCCTCGCATGCGCTCTCTATGCTCACGTGATGCTCTTGTGGGCGTTGGTCTACAGAGCAAAATTTTTGTAGATGTCGGAAAAATTGCTGTATTTTATATTTTCTATAAGCAGTATACCTTCAACCTCTACAGACAGAACACCTTCTGCAGACCTTCAAAAGTCTGAAGGTCTTTTACTGGTATCTTTTACCCATGTGTTCTGCTGAAAAAAAACTCAATCCAGATCCTTTATATACATAAGGTTTTTTATACATCTTCTACACATTGGACACATTCTATAGCTATCAATTTAAAGGTCAACTACTCCTCTTGGATATACTATCAACTTCTTCTATGTCCTTCAGGAGTAAATATCTAGAGACAGAAGACCTGGTATAGATCCTTGGAACTCTTACAGGCCTTTCAGCCATCGAAAAAAATAGTTCCATTAGAAATTATCTGGAAACAGAACACATTCGGTTACAAAACATATAGTATTTCATCGATACAATTTTTAACTAAAAAAATATATATAATAGTTGGAAAATTCTCATTATTAAGAAAAATATGAATTTATTTTGGAGAAGAAACTATCAATCTGTAAAACATCTCGATGAGATGATACGAAGTCAGTTAACATATTTTAAAATATTAGGAATTATAGAACAAACCATGAAATTTCAATATCTTAGCCTTACCATAGAGAATAAACGTAGATGCAAATATTGAAACCAAACTAAGCGATTCTTAGAAATAAATTTCGATCTAAAGTCTATCGATTATGGTATGTAGTCATAATTTAATCAATTTATATCGGTCTTCTATAGGCAGACGTCTTTATTCATGTCTGCTATAGTCGGAAGACATTCTATATTTCTGCAGATCATATAACGACTGAAGACCTTTTGCAGATAGAGGTCTCAACACAGGTATGCTTTTATAAACAGAGGGCCTTCTAGAGCTTTTCTGTTGACAAGAAATAATCGTCTACAGGACTTTATAAACGTATGAGATTCTGCAAAATATGACTTACTGAATTATAACCTGATACATATTTTACATTCGTTTCACATTTTTATACAATTTTCATTACTTTTCAAATAAGTCATTCCCTGCATCTTGCCACATTGTCCGATATCTATGCTACAACTATGATGATTACGATAATAATAATACCGATTCTGATGTGCATAAAAACCACATTTACAACATGTCTCATTTCCTGTAATTTCCTTGTTTCTCTCTCACTGTCTGTCTGGTCATCATAGTGATGCTTGTCGAATTTTGACCAAATGACCGACAGACATACATAGTATCCATCCAACTACCATCATCAGAAGCATCATAAAATGTACACTTCCACAATACAAATACACCACAAAACAGAGCACAGCGTAACAGTATTCATTCATTTCATTGATGGGAAAGATTCCGATGATGATGGTGGAGAGTAGTTTCCTCAAAGCAAAACCCCAAAAAATGAAATGCAAAAAAACGAAGACAACACCAAATATCTTGTCATGAAAAACTTTGTGGTGTTTTCTTTTTTTATGGCAAAGAGATGGACCGACGCGACGTACAGACAATGGCCAATGGAAGCCAGTGGAGTACAATTTATTACCAAACTGTTCATTTAATCAATAACAATACTCTCTGCAGTTTATTGATTTCTAAGGGCATCCTTTTGAACCCATGGAGGAACAACAACCACAAAACAATGACCGATTACAATCAGTGGTAATATCATTTAGTTTTAATTTTATGTTTCAATATTATTTCACTTAACTGATATTAACTGATTTGGAATGGGGGAAATTGTTTTTTATATGTTGTTTCTATATCCTAGGGGGGTTTTCTGGTTGGGGGATAGTGGTTTTATAAATATTTGGCGATTTTATTTGCTGAGAAATGTTTGCATATATTGAACAGCAGACCTTAAAATGTGAAAGTAAGTGGGTTCACAAGGGTAGATAAAATACTGTCTAAAGGTTTCCTATGGACTAAAGATCTTCTACAGAACACCAATAGATATGTAAAGAAAACAGACTATATTCTAGGCTTTTCTATAAATAGATAACCTTTAACACCGTCTTCTATAGACAGAAGCTGCAAATTCTTCCATTCACACAGAGAACCTTCTAAAGATCTACTGTATACATTGGATCTTATGTAGATCTTCTAAAAAGAAACACTTCAAAAGGCCTTCTAGAGAGAGGAGATATTCTAGGTAAGTTCTACAGACAGTGGACCTTCTATAGATTTCTTATAGAGAGAACATCATCTATAGGTATTCTGTAGACAAAATTCCTTACGTAGGTATTCAGTAGACGCAGTTCCTTTTATAGACCATCTAAGAACAGAGAACCTCATTCAGATATTCTACGTACAGAAAATCCTCTACAGGTCAGAGGTCCGTCTTCATCTAGAGATCATCATAAGACAGAAGACCTTCTACACATCATCTCTATAAAGATTATCTTCTATGCGTCTTCTATAGACAGAGGTTCCTCTACAGAAATTCTACAGCTATAAGACCATCTACAGGCCATCTTGAGACAAAAAACCTTTTACAAGTCTTCGGGAGAATATTCAGTATTACAGTCTCATAGTAAGAGATCATCTCTGTAAAGATTATCTTATATGGGTCCTCTATAGGCAAAGGCCCATTTATTGAAATTCTATAGCAATAATACTTTCTACAGGCCATCTTGAGACAAAAACCCTTTTACAAGTCTTCGGGAGAATATCCAGTATTATAGTCACATAGTGAGAGATGGCATTATTGATAGAGTTTTTACAGATGTCCAAGACAAACGATTTTCTACAGTTCTTCTAGAAATAGACAGCCTTCTACGGGTCTTGTATAGGCAGAGGGTTCTTAGCAGTCCCTCTACCCACTTTTATTGGCATTCCATAGCTAGAAGTCCTTTGCAGGTTTTCTGGAGGTAGAAGGCCTTAAGCATATCTTCTATGCACTACTAATGGTCTTCTAGATAAAAAATAACTTCAGCCAAGACTTATATAGTCAGAGTACTTTCTAGAGGTATTCAATAGACAAAGGATCTTCTAAAGGCATTCTAGAAACGGAATACCTTCTACAGGTCTTCCGTAGATAGATAACTTTCTTCTAGAGGTACCCAATAGACAAAATATGTTCTACAGGTATTTTGAAGACAGAATAATTCTATAGCCCCCTTTAGACTCAGACCCTTATACTGGCATTCATTGGCTAGAATTCATTCAAAAGGTCTTCTATAGACAGAATACCTCTCACATGACATAAGAACACTGGGGACATTTCATAGGTTTCCTCTACAGGTCTTCTATTGACAGACCGCTTCCTGCAGGATACCTGTAGACAATATCGCTTTTATAAAGGCAAGACATGCTACAAGTCTTCTGCAGAAAGAAAACCTTCTGCAGACTTTCGATAGTTTGAGGGCATATTAACTTCAACTGGCCTTCTGGCTCTTATATGGATAGAAGACCAATATGTGGCATTCTACAGATCTTCCGAAGGCAGAAGATCTTCCGCATCAAAAGATTTTGGGATGGTCCTCCTGAGGAAATTTTTCGGGAATTATTGAAAATATTTTCTAAAGATAGAGATTTTTTTACAGGTCTCCTGTAGATAGAATACGTTCCGCAGGAGGAACTTCCTCTATAGGAAGTACCAACTATAGATAATTTAATAAGATAATCTATAAATAATCTAAAACTATATTTTTTCCAGTCTTCCATACAATTTAGATCCTCTATAGGGCTTTTTATACCCTCCACCATAAGGTAGATCAGATAAATTCTGGATATAAATCGAAATATTTAATGTAGAGGTTTGAAAGTTTGAATAGGGGGATATCGTTTTATGTTTTGGTATAGCTACCCCATTTAAAGTTCCCTTCTAATTTTCGATATTTAGAATGTCCGAACCTAATTTTCAAATAGGATAAATTGTCGACACTGGTTCATATATTTACACAGCGCCTATATAAAGGTCGCGGTCTCATTATTTGGAGTTCCAAGTTTTTGGAGGATAAAAAAACTTTTTTTTTTTAATTTGGACTGTATAGGTAAGGATAATTTTCGTTATTGTGACATTCCGAATTATTGGAGGTTGAAAAACATCCTTGCCGAACATTTTCGATGTAGGTACATATTTTGACAGAGGCCTCTATAGCTGAATTAGCCGCATTTCTTCAGCGATGTGACTGCAATTTGGCATTGCTGATTCCTGAAGGGTGGAAAAGATCTTTGTAGGACATTTTCGCTGTGGCTTCCTATATTGATACAGCTCCTATTATATCTGTACGAAGCTATATTCAGTAGCAGCTGTAATTTGGCATTTCGCAGTACCAGTAGTAATTTGACATTATTACAGACGATTTTTTGTACCGATCCATTTTTTATATAACTTCCATAAATACGCCCCGCCTCATGTTAGGCTCGTAACGAAGGGTATAAAAAGTTCGGCCTGATCAAATAATAATAACTTTTCACCTAGTTAATATATTGCTGATAATCTGTTCCATTTCTGTGTTGCTATTTTATTGACCACTACTGTTTTTTTTTCACTACATACAGAAATAAATCTCTGCAAAATTTTCTTTCAACTTACCGTATTTTCATAAAATTGTCCATTTAAATCTGGTTTTGTACCACATCTCGAATACGATATCCTAAATGAGAAGAATGTTTTACCCGTCGATGGAGGTACATAAACGCAACGTGGATCACTGTGTTGACCTATAAACACGTTCGTACAAATAGAAGAAGAAGAAGATAAATACAATAAAGTTGTTTTAAAGAAACTGCAGACAAGCTCTACTTACCCTTTGAACTAACAATACCCTCAAATGGATGTGAAAATGTTAAATGAACATCCATGTGATCCTTACCGCACATCACTTCTAATGAGACTATGTTTGGCATACCTTCCGGCCTCTCCATGGGCCACAATTCATTACCAGCTAAGACTAAACTAAACTGTAAAGAGATGAACGAAAAATACATACATACAAATTATTAACAAAAGAATACAAACATGTGCAACAACATATGTATTTAGTTATGTGTGAAGTTAGAAGACAATGGAAAATCAGAGAAAAATTTGTTTGGAAAAGGCTGTAGCATTTCCACAGAACAAGATGAACAGAATTGAAACAACGAAACGTAACGTAACAAATTGTAAAGTGTATTCATATTTTCTCAGGCAAAATATTTAAACATTCATTATTGCAGTGGAATTTTAATTAGAATGAAAATGTTTCCTTGGCAATGGGGAGAACGAATAGAAAGGAAGGTACCCATGGCGGTGCTCACAATATATGAATATGAATTCGTTATAAGAATTTTTCAGTTTGCAAAAAGGGAAATAACACTTTTGTAAGTGTGTGTAAAATGCAAAAGAGACTAAAAAATATTTCAAAAACCCATTTCAAGAAAAAAATTAAATTCACCTTGGTTCGGTCATCGATTTTGAAGCCAGTATAGTTCTTACTACTGCCGGGAAGCACTTCTTACCATTTTATAGATTCTCAGCAGGTATTTTCTCAGATTTTATAGATAGATGGAAGACCTTATAATGATTTCTTAGTCCCTTTTCAGGTCTTTTGTAGGCGCTCTATGGTCAAAAATCGATGTTCATTCCATTAAAATTAAATTAAAGTCGATTTGAAATATTTTTTTAACCATTTCTTAACTACACTGTACAGGGTTGCCCATATTCGACGGACCCATCTGGCAACGCCATAACTTTTGGCAGATATGTCACATCGCTTAATGACATACCGCGTTTGGAGCGTCAGTCCAAGCAGATTTTTACCATGAACCAATACACGCCACGCGAGCGCTCTGAAATAGTTGAAACTTACATTCAACAGAAGTAGTCAATTGTGAAAACTCAACGTGCTTTTAAAACATTAGAAAATGTGAGAAGTGCGCCTTCTAAGAACACCATTAAGCGTTTATACGAAAAATTTTCGACTGGTAAGGCTCTTTCTAATACGAAGAGGCCATATAAAAGTCGACCAAGGCGATCGGCCGAGAATATCGCTGCCGTACGAGCCAGTGTTGAGAGGTCCCCAAGAACATCCAGAAACGCCGTTCTCAGCAGTTGGGTATGGCTCGGTCCACTTTACAACGGATTATTCGCATTGATTTGCATTTGTTCCCGTACAAAATTCAATTGACGCAAAGAATGTTGCCTGCGGACAAGCCTCTTCGATTAGAATGGGCCCAAAGAGTCATCGAAATGACCGAAGATGACGAGCAATTTTGGAACAAAATTATCATGTCCGATGAAGCCCATTTCACATTGAATGGGACCGTTAATAAGCATAATTGCCATTTTTTCGCCACAGAAAATCCTCAGGAGATTCAAGAAGTGCCTCTTCATGACGAAAAAGTCACAGTTTGGTGCGGCGAAAACGGTCATTGGGCCGTTTTTCTTCCAAAATGAAAATGGCCATGCTGTTACCATCAATCAGGAGTGTTATCGCGACATGATGACCAATTTTGTGATGCCAATTATTCGTCGAAAGCATATGAGGCAGTTCTGGTTTCAACAAGACGGCGCTCCACCGCACACAATTCGCATAACAATCGATTTTCTGAAGAATTTGTTTCCGGGCCGTTTGATGTCGAAAAGTGGTGATTTGGACTGGCCACCGCGTTCGCCCGATTTGACGCCGCCTGGCTTTTTCTTGTGGGGATATTTGAAGTCAAAGGTTTACGTTAACAAGCCAAGGTCCGTAGAAGAGTTCAACGACAACATTCGTCAAGAAATATCCACTATTCCGGCCGAAATGTACGTCATCAAAGCCAGAGGCGGCCATTTGAGAGATATCATATTCAAAAATTGATGTAAACAAATCTACTTGGAACAAATTAAATGATTAACATTGCCAACCGGCAAATTTTTATTTTTTTCTTTGATTAGAAAAAAACATGGGTCCGTCGAATATGGGCAACCCTGTATATGAGACTTTTTACAGGTATTCTAAAGATGACAGGACTTTAACAGCTTCGTCGTTATTTTGTTTTCCATTCTTTCAAAAAATCTAATCAGTCACTAGACACCATTAATTTTCCATGAATCTAATTTTTGTTGCCTTGGTTGTGAAGTCTATGGCAGCCAAAAATGCCGTGACGGAGTGGCACGGCAATCGATTAGCACCCTTACTTCTGAACTATTTTCATAAAGGAATGTCCGCATAAATTTCCAATAACATAAAAAATTACATGATTTTTTTTTTGTTAGAAAAACTAGTATACGCACGGAGAACCGGATATACAAAATTACATCCACAAAAGAATATGGGACTTGGGCCAGACATCTGCTAGAAAGCCATTTGTAGTACGAAAACCCGAAATGCCAACATCCAGCCACTTGAGTTAGAAACTACGGCTAAGATCTCCAAAATACTGAAAATAGGGCGGCACCCTTATGTACCCTATGTAAGAACCTGAACAATGGAAAATTTCGTTGAGGAGATCATACCGAACTAACATCTACATACCCCAATGGAAAGTGTGGCTAGAATATTCAATACAACGAAAATGGGACGGTAGATTCAGAAAATTTTCCTCTGAACTTAATATTCCAAATTGAAACAGCTTCGAGATAATGAGAATATGGCTAATCCTGAGAAAGGAACAGGATATATTTTGGATTCCATATCAAATCATGGACCTACAAGGTTTGCTTGGGCAGTTTAAGAAGAATAGGGTAACATTACCATATGCCGGACAGATATTATCAACTATGACCTCATGCCCTCGGAAATAACCAAATTTTAATATCACATATCTTCTTTTGCATTTTATCAAACATTTTGTGTGTGAATAGAATGAAAAGGGAACACTTTAATAAAACTTTGTTAAAATTGTTAAACAAATACCATACACATATAACAACCACTTGTTATATAGGTGGTATTTTGTTTGTTTTTCACTTCTTCTTCTGAGATTTTTTAAATTGGCTTCACAAAAATCAGAAAAGAACAAGAAGTGAATGTATATTTCGCTTACTGCTGCTGATGTATTTAATAAATATTTGCAAAGAGAATTATTCGCATATATGCAAACGCATTGTAAAGCTTATGAGAAAGGAGGAATTTTTTTTTGGAATATGATTTTAAAAAATTAACATGTTTGAGATGAATATAAAATAATACAAGTGTGATGTTTGACTAAACGCCGAACATGAAAAATTTGCAGTTAATGAAAAAGTGAGATTTTTTTACAAAAATTATGAAAATTTCAACAGATATTTATAACACTTTGTTTTTTCGAATTGTTGTAATAAGAAAGAAAAACATTACCTTCTTTTTGAATCATTGAGAATGTAAATCGGTCTATAAAAGTATTTTAAAATTCGAATACGGACAGAAGACCTTTCGAAATGTCTTTGCATGTCTATAATAGACATACATGACTCCATATGGGTTCCCAAATGTTTTGTCTATATGAGGCTTTCTTAGGAAGCCTTCTGTCTGGAGATATCTTTCCCTTAGACAGAAGAACTTCTGAAACTCCTGTGCTGGCCTCCTATGTCTTTGTAGGGTTTTGTATTTTGTCTATATAAGGCTTAAAGGAGATCTTCTATCTGGAGATGACTTTAGAAAACTTCCATCGTCTTTAGGAGATCCTCGATCCTCAGAAGACCATGAGGCCCTCAGAATGCCACTTGTTTTTATAACACCTTCAAAAGATATTCGGTTTATAGATTATCTTATGATGATATTCTATTCACAAAATAAACATAGAGGAGCTTATTTCTGTAGAAGAGACTCAGAATCGTTTCTGTCTGCAAATAACCTTCAGGAGGTCTTCTGTTCACAAATAACCTCAGGAGGCAAGTCTATCTATAGGATTCATGTAAATATAAAAAGACATAAACGCTTCGGCAGGTCTTCTGTATAAGGGAAAATCATATTCAGACAGAAAACCTCCTGAAACTCCTATGAAGATATCCAATAGACAGACATCCCACCCGATGGATGCCCATGTGTTATGTTTATATAAGACTTCAATAGCCCTTCAGTCTGAAGCTCTTATGCTGGCATCATATGACTTTTGAAGGTTTTCAAAGTGTTTTGTCTATAAAACGGCTTTAGAGGTTTGTCTTTTGAAGATCCTCTGTCTGTAAAAGCTGTTATGGGCACAGAAAACCTTAAGATCACCTATAGACTAATATGCTGCCGAAGGTTTCCAATGTGTTTTGTTTATATGAGGCTCTAGGAGGTCTTCTGTCTGGAGATGACTTCACCTTTCGTACATGGATGGTTCACATCATGTACTTTGTCTTAAGATGGCTTTCAGACTTCTGCCGATATACGGGTTTAAGATGTCTTCTTTCTGTAAAGGATTTGCAGACTATCCTCTTTCTAATTACGGCCTTCTCTTGGTCGTATATTGGTGTACGGATCCTTATGGTATTGTGCCTATATTAAGCACTTCACAATGTTAGTTTGTCTATTGATGTTTTTTAGATTACTCTCGATATGAGAGAGAAGGTCATTCTCTAAATAACATTCGGAATATCCTCTGTCGACTGAAAGCTTCTAATGTCTGTATACGAATCCATCACATAGGTACCATGATTTCAAAATAGGGACGGTTATGATCAAGAATGTATATTTAACAGGTAAAAAGTGCCCGTCGGTGTTGCCGACAGATATATACCATCAGCCTATGATTTGCGGAATTGCCCACATGTTCTATTAATTTGATTGGGATGTAACAAGGAGAGTGGAATAATGGTTCTGATCTTCGGGCTTGATATAGGTTTAGTAAAAGTACAACATTTCGCCAGGTTTAGAATAAATCGGATATTCAATACCCTAGATATTGGATTAATAAATTAAAAAAAAACAATCACACTGTGGGAAGGTACCAGAAGGAGTAGACCGGTGGGTCCCATCATTCAACAATATACAGTCATGGTTATAATATTAGGTTGTGTGCAGTTCAAATCTGATAGT